CAACTTACAATTATTATATAGCAAACAGATTGTGTAAATTAGAGATTGTTATTTTCTGATAAATATGCTTTTTATATAAATATTTCTTTTTTAAACCTTTCACTGTGTCTTTTTTGTGTTTTTTTCTTAAACTGAAGTTTTTTAGATATTTAAGAAGGTGTATGTTTTGTGACTGTCTTGATAATTTTATTTTTATATGATAGAATTAGTTTTTTCTTCTGGCAGGAGGAGTTTCTTATTAGTTTTCTACGAACATCATAGTATTAATTTATATCCTCTCCCTTCCTCTTCCATTTTATTTGTGTTTACCTTTGTATTCCTAAACATGTTCTAACACAACTACTTGACTTATCAGTTTTAAGAAATAGATTTTGAATCTCAGATATTACAGACAAGGCCATCAGCAAGCTTACTCATATTTCCAGTTAATCTATAATTATTGAGAAATGTGTTTTTACTTGTCAGTTTCTTTTTGTTATTCTTTCTATATTTTCTTAGATATTTTGTGACTGTTGGTAAGTGCAAACTGATTGTTTTAATATAATGTTCTGGTGACTTATCATCATACAATGATCATTTTTGTCTCTACAATTGCTTTTGGTCTTAGTTTATATATATAAATTACTTTACCCAAGGATAAGCTCATGGATTTTAGAGAGGGAAGGAGAGAGGGGGATGTGGGAGGAGGAAAAGAGAGGGGGGGGAGGGAGAGAGAGAGAGAGAGAGAGAACGAGAGATTGGTAGCCACCCATATGCACCCCAACCAGGATCAAACCTACAACCTAGGTTTGTGCCCTGACCAGGAATCAAACCCACAGACAGTATGTACAGTGCTCCAGCCAGCTGAGCCACCTGGCCAGGGCTAGACTATATATTTAAATATCAATGTAACCAGACAAGCTGACTTCTGTTGTTAGTTTTATATGTCATGTTGCATATTTTGATTTTAGCCTTTTCATGTCTTTAGGGTTGTTTGGGGGGTTTTTTTGTGATTCATGTGAAGAGCATAGAACTGGAGTTGGTGATAATATTAATCCAATCTGATAATTTCTTTAACTCCTAAATTTATGCTATTTACATTTATTGTGATTACCAAGTTTTCTGAATTTCTTTTCACGCCATATATTGTGCTTTTTATTTTATGTTCTTTCTTTGCTTCTTCTTTTCTCCTTTCATGTTTATATTAAATTAAAATTTTTAAGTATTCTCTAATATCTCCCTACTGGCTTGGGAGTTTTAAATTCTATTAGTTAAGAGTTATCCCTACATTTTTTAAGTATTTTTATTGATTTCAGAGAGGAATGGAGAGGGAGAGAGAGAAACATCAACGATAGAGAATCATTGATCAGCTGCCTCTTGCATGCCCCCCACTGGAGATCAACCTGCAACCCGGGCATGTGCCCTTGACTGGAATCAAACCCGGTACCATTCAGTCCACAGGCCAACGCTCTATCCACTGAGCCAAACCAGCTAGAGCTATCCCTACATTTTTAACATGACAACTTGACAGCAATTGGCTAACAATTGAAGTTCATCAATATCTCTAACCTTCCAAACAAGACAAAGACTTGAGAAGGCTCTGTGGGTGATACAGGGCGGTGCCCCAACCACCCCCCCCGCCCCCCCATGGGCCCTGCTCTGTGTGTGATGGGGTAGAGCCATAACCTCCCCATCAGCACTGCCCTGAGTGTGACAGTGGCGTGTGCCCCAACCCCCTGATCCCACCTGCTCTGTGTGTGACAGGGCACAGTGCCCCAGCTCCCCTGATGGGCCCTGCTCTGTGAGTGACAGGCGGCAGCACCCCCACCCCCCTGATGGACCCTGCTCTGTGAG